GGCTGAAAATGCCAGCAAGGGGTTTTGCCAGTGGTCAGCTTGGTTTACAGGCTCCGGAGCTTCCTGTTTTACGAAAGTTTTCATTCGGGCACTGGACCGGCTGTTCAGAAAGACTGGAACCACCAGGGGAGCTAATATTTTGTTGGTGACTTTTCCCAGATAAAGTCTGAAGTCTCTATATGTTCAGATTCATACATTTCCTGACAGTGAAACTAATTCGATCCTAGAATAGGCCCCCAAGGAAATAACTCGGTTTCATCCCCTGTCACGTCCTCCTTTTGTGGTGAAGAATTAGAAAATGTATTCTTAGAACATTTTCCTAATATTCCCTTTTTTTTTCTTCTTGGGATGGAAAATAAAAACCTCAGATTTGGCTGCTAAATGTATTCATTTAGCAATTATTTTTTTATTTTCATTTCTAACTGGTGTTTGCCAGCTCCAGTTCTACCTTCTTTTTGTATCTTTTTTAAAAAGATGTTTTTAATGTCTTTATTGAATTTGTCACAGTACTGTTTTTGTTTTATGTTTTGGTTTTTTGGCCCAAGTCATATGGAATCTTAGTTCCCTGATAAGGGATAAAACCTGCACCCCCTGCATTGGAAGGTGAAGTCTTAACTACTGGGCTGCCAGGGAAGTTCCTCTGCCTTCCTTTTCTTTTATCATCTTTCTTTTCATATTGCTTCGGTTGGTTTCTGCTCCTCGGGTTATGTTCATGACAAACTTACTATGCCATTTTCATTACTGTTTAGCCCTGGGTCCCAGTGTCTTCTGAACTGTGGGATTAGCCCTTTAATCTTTTCTTTTAAATTTATTTTAATTGGAGGATAACTGTTTTGCAGTGTTGTGTTGGTTTCTGCCATACATCAGCACGAATCAGCCGCAGGTATACGTATGTTCCCTCCCTCTTGAACCTCCCTCCCACCTCCTAGCCCATCACCTCCCCACCCCCATGTTGTCACAGAGCGCCAGATCCCTGTGTCATGCAGCCAATGCACACTGGCTAATTATTTTACATATGGTAGTGCATATGTTTCAAAGCTGCTCTTCTGTACGTCTTCTCTGGAGAAGTGTCTAAGTCTTCTGACCATTTTTTGATTGGGCTGTTTGTTTTCCTGATGCTGAGCTGTATGAGCTGTTTATTGTTGTTCTGTTTCTAAGTTGGGTCTGACTCTGCAACCCCATGGACTGCAGCACGCCAGACTCCCCTGTCCTTCACTGTCTCCTGGAGTTTACTCAAACTCATGTCTATTGAATCAGTGATGCCATCCAACCATCGCATCCTCTGTCACCCCCTTCTCCTCCTGCCCTTAATCTTTCCCACCCAGCATCAGGGTCTTTCCCAATAAGTCGGCTCCTCACATCAGGTGGCCAAAGTATTGGAGTTTCAGCTTCAGCATCAGTTCTTCCGATGAATTTTCAGGGTTAATTTCCTTTAGGACGGACTAGTTTAATCTCCTTGCTGTGCAAGGGACTTTGAGGAATCTTTCCTTATATTAGCCCTTTAATCTTTTCTTCTCTTTTCTCTTTGCTGATTCATTGCCATTGTGAGTTAATGAAAATGTGATTCTTCTGCACATGGTAAGTCCCACTGGTCACTGTTAAAACCTTTAACATCTGGAATTTTTAAGTCTTTGATGTATCAGCAGTAAGGTATTAAAGATGATAACATTCAGGCAGAAAAGTAACAGCAGGGCTCCTGTGGTTATTAAAAAATTACATCTTTCATTTCCTGAGAGTACCACTGTTTAACTGCCTTGGCAATGTTTAAACTTTCCAGCAGTACTGGTGGGAAACACCCACCAGTGGTACACTTCTGAGAAATAAAGAGGCACTAAAACTGTGATTTTGATGATGGGTGGCAATTACAAGCTGTTTTTTGGTCTAATTTTTCGAGGAAAGCCTAGGGAAGATTCTTTCAGTACCATGAATAGCCACGATGGATCCCAACGGGGTACTGTCTTTTTGAAAGATGGCATTCCACCAAGTTCTGTTGAGAATCTGTGGCTGATTTTCATAGTGATAAATGCTGCTTTATCACAGCTTGACTGCAGTTGAATTTAGCTGCACATGGCTCATGCCAACTTTGTTATTGTAAATGTAAACATAGTATGTAATTTAGGTCCACTTTCTTGGTTAAAAAAGGTTATGTAAATTATTATAAAAATTAACATCACTGGGACTGCCCTGGTGGTTCAATGGTTAAGACTTCGCCTTCCAAGGCAGGGGGTGCAGGTTTGATCCCTGGGTTGGGGAGCTAAGTTCCCACATGATTCATGGCCAAAAAAAACCAAAACATTAAACAGAAGCAATATTGTAACAAATTCAATAAAGACTTAAAAAAATTTACGTCACTGACTCTGAAATAGCAGACCCTTTCTGCATCAAAGATGCTGGTCCCATGAAAAAGACAAATTTTTTCTTTTGAATTAAGAAGATGGTTTTAAAGTTTGTTATTAAAAATGAATACTTAAAAAAATTCAAGCTTACTGATTACAAACCTTATGCCCATGGTTGAGACATCATTTAGAACACAGGTAGATATAGAAAGTGTTTATAATCAGTTATTCAAAGCATGAAAGGATACCTTATATTTGGAAAAGTGCTGACTACATCACAATTGTAGACTAAAACATTGCTGTTGAGTTGCTCATTGAGCCTGTTTCTTCGCCCTCTCAGATGCACACTTAGACCACAATTCTCAGGCCCCTTTGGAGTTAGGTTTGGATCTGTGCCTGAGTTCTGTCAGATGGAATGTAGCTGAAAGTGAAGCAAGCCAATTCCCTGCTCAAGCCACATTTTTCTGTGTGCGGGCGGTTGCTCTTTCTCTCTCTGCCTCCACCTGCTGGCTGGGTGCAGAGAATCCTGGAGGAGAATCTGAAGCCCTAACAGACAGCAGAGTCACCAGACAGAAGTGATGGGTGCTTGAGTACTCACTTGGCAGGCTACCTCAAGAACATTTGCATTTATCATGTGAGCGGTAATGAAGTAATGAGGTCGCTCAGTCTTGTCCAATTCTTTGTGACACCAGGCTCCTCCATCCATGAGATTTTCCAGGCAAGAATACTGGAGTGGGTTGCCATCTCCTTCTCCAAGGGATCTTCCCAACCCAGGTCTCCCACACTGCAGGCAGACGCTTTACCGTCTGAGCCACCAGGAAAGCGTGGTAACAGATTTTAAAATGCTAAATTTAAAAGAAAAATCATTGGAGTATAGTTGATTGACAGTGTTGTATCAGTTTCAGGTGTGCAGCCAAGGGAATCATTTATACATATACCCACTCCCCACGGACAGAGGAGTCTGGCGGGCTACAGTCCACAGGGTCGCAAAGAGTCAGACACGACTGAAGTGACTCAGCACTCACTTTTTAGATTCTTTTCCCATATAGGCCATTACAGAGTACAGAGTAAAGTTCCCTGTGCTGTAAGTAGGTCCTTATTAGTTACCTATTTTCTATGTATAAGCTACTAAAATGCTGAGGATTGTTTGTGACAGCAATTAGCCCCCTTGACTGACACTGGTAGCAAAAGGCATTTGATAAAATCCAACTCTACTGCCAACTAAAAAATAATTGTCAAATGGAACAGAATTTTTTTATTGTTAAAAATACCTACCTTATATCAAATGCCAACATTGTTATCTATAGGCATTTTCATTAAAATAAACAAGAATACCTGCTACTGTTCACTATTAATAATTACTGGCTTCAAGATCAAGTTAGTTAAAAGTTGAGAAATGAAATTATCATTATTTGAGATGAAAAGTCACTTACCTAGAAAATCCAGGAAAAATCAACTACAAAATTATTAGGGCCTAAAGGACTTTAATAAGTCATGTTACAAAATAAAAATTCAACATTAATATATTTTCTATGACCTTTAAAAAGTAAATTATGTATCTTCCAACATAGGAAGATTGCATACATAATTTCAAAAATGGCATACATAATTTCAAAAAGAGTCATGAAAACAGGAAGTTACTACAAAATGCTCTGTGAAATTAAAAAATGATAGCCAAAATAAAAATTCAACAGGAATTTAGAAGATAAGCTTGAAATGTTTTCTTAGAGAACAAAAACTCAGACATGAACAAAAGGGGAGGAAAAACAAGAAAATTGGAGTATCCATCTACAATGTCCAACAACTGATGAAAAGGAATGCCATTGACCTAGAGCCAGCAGAGGGGAGGAACTTATTGCATATATAATTAATGAATATTCCACTGAATTGAACGATGCTGAATAAGCATGAACTGAATAAGCTTATAACTGAATAAGCCCATGCTTTATTCGGATTTTGTTAGTTTTTATCCAAAGTAGCTTTTCTTTTCTAGGATACTATATTACATCATGTCTCCTTAGCTCTTCTTGGCCGTGACTGTTTTTCAGACTGTTTTTGATGACCTTGATAGGTTTGAGGAGTACTACTGGTCGGGTATTTTGTAAAAACTCCATCTGCCTAGATTTGTGTGACTGGAGAAGTCATGACTAGAGGGAAGTTAGAAATTTGGGGGAGGAAGATCACAGAGATCAAGAGCCGTTTTCAGCACATCATATGAAGGGTACATGCTCTCAGTGTGACTTATCACTGCTGATACTGACTTTCACCTGGTGGAGGTAGTGTCAAGTTTATCCACTCTAACAGTTAATTCTTCCCCCACCCTGTTCCCATATTGTATTCTTTCGGAGGAAGTCACTCTGTGCTGATGAGACTGAAGGAGTGGAGGGTTTTATACTGCATGTCAAGGGTAGTGTATCTTTATAAATCAGTTAAACTCCTAGGAGTGTGACTGCTGGATCATATGGTAAGACAACATTCAGCTGTGTGAGAAACTGCCCAAATGTTTTTAAAGTGCCTACACCATTTTGCATCCCATCAGCAACAAATGAGAGCATCCTCAGCAGGAATTGATGTGGTCAATTTCTTGGATTTTAACCATTCTAATAAGTGTGCAGTGGTATCTCACTATTGTTTTGTCTTTTTTTCTTTTCTTTTTAAATTATACTAGTTTAATGAACCTATGCCTGGCAATTTAGGAGTATCTCTCAATATTTTTCTCTTGTCTGATGTTTGTACCAATTCTTGTTCAGTATTGTTTTTGCATATCTGAGTATGTCTGAGTATATGATGGATATTGTATTTGAAAAAGTATCCACAGAGTAGGTAAAATGACATTTTCTTCCTCCAAAGAAAATTTTCATTTGCTTCTGCCTGGTGCCTGATGGTCACAGTTATCCACCTTATTCTAATTCCAGGGTTAGAGACTTTTCTAGTCCACCCAGATAACAAAGCAGAGTTGCTTTCCTTATAGTTCATCCTACTCCTAGGATGCATCCCTTTGAGGCCACAATTCTGACTCCCTTCTCCTTGTCCTCGTCTTCTATAGTTTGAGACTGATAACAGCACCGTTCAGTGTCTCAGCCAGTTTTCCGAATTGTCAAATGCTTCCTCTGCAAAAGCAGCTCCAAATGTTGGGCTTGACAGTGTGAATTTCTCTTCTCCCAAATCTTAACCTGGCAATTTCACATGATCTTATTAGATTTTTCTAATGTTATCAGGATGATCTTATTTTATTTCTCATTGTCAGAAGTGAAAACAGGGTCCTGGGTTCCCTTTGCTTTATCCCATATCCCAGGTCTACACTTGGCTTTAAAAAGTTATGACAAAAACAGTTCTATAATTATACTATACATTACCAACTCAATAGACATGAACGTGAGCAAACTCCAGGAGATGGTGGAAGACAGCCTGGCATGCTGCAGTCCATGGGGTCGCAAAGAGTGGGATGTGACTCAGTGACTGAACAAGAATCATACTTTGAGAAGAAACTGTGACAAAGAAAAAATAACACAAGTCTTGACTGTCTTTTGATTGCCCAGGTAAAAAAGAGCCTATTCTGTCTTATTAGTCATAGAGCCACCAATCTGAAAAACTATACCACTTCTTGGGCCAGGAACACTGTGTATAACCATAGACTACTCTATAATCTCATATACAGAGAACATTTTATTACTGAAAAGATCACACAAAATTTTTGTATATAAAGTTAAAAAATGTGGAAAAGTTAATATTTACATTTTTCATACAGTACATGATGATTTTCTTTTTACGCTTTAACAGAATGTTAAAAAGAGGAAAAAACCAAAAGCATAAGAAAGCTTTGTTCAGGGAAAGATATTCATTGAAAACAAAATTAAGACAATTCTTTAATATTTCAGAGTATATGAAATACATTTTCTGTTTATCAGGACTATATATTTTTTTTCCCATTTGTTTGGCACTAATACTGCTAGCACATGTTTGAATATTCAGCAGAATCCTATTTAGCTGCACAGATGAATTCTACATTATGTCTGAGAAAGATACTGCAAAAATGCAAAAAGTCTGCAGTGTTCTAAATGTTAAAAAACAAAAGTTAAATGTATAAGCAATTGTAAATGGTCATACAAACACAATCTCGGGTAGTCATGATATATTAAAAAAAAGGAATCAATTGCACTTGGCTTAATTTATAAAACAGTAACAATTCATCTTGCACTTGGCTTAATTTATAAAAGAGTAACAATTCATCTACTAATCCTTCCGAACATTTCATTTAAAAAAATCAGAAGGATCAGTCAGCAGCATAATATTATCAACATTGGACACTCAGTAAGCACCTTATTTCAATTGCATAATAGATCTGTGAAATTCCTAAAACAACTAGACTTTATAAAATTCACACATTGAAGATGATAAGGTAAATAGATTTTGAAAGTTGAATTTCCATTATAAATGAATTTCAGTGTATCAACTGTTTTTTATACTACAAAAGAATACTTATTTTCTTAGAAATTCAATGTAAAAGCTACCAAAATAGTGCTAAAATCAGCTATTGGAATAATATAATAAAAATATCTGAATAGACTTGAGGATTTCTAAAAAAAAGTTCAAAACATAAAAATTCATTTTCAAATATATAAAAATGCTATAAAGATAAGTTTTAAATACTTCAGCAAAGAAAAATCTTGACTTTATACTGTAAAAGTGAAACAGCATAGTACAACTTAAAACACTTTTGACACAGGAGAATCTTCATAAATAGAAAAGGAAGATTCCTCTAACAGTCTCTCCTCCCACACAACTTGAAAAATATTATTAACCTGCACATTTCTGTTTGGGGAGATATACTGCCGCCATTAACCTGTGTGTGAAATGAATCATATTCTCAGAATCTATTGTTTTCAGTGTAACAAGAGGCAATGTAGCTTTAAGTGCAAAAGAAGACTGTAACAGTGATTCTTGTAAGACAGTGTACTGTCACCTCCAGTGTAGCAGGAATCCACTTCTCAGTAACACGATGACCTGGTTTTCAAGTATCTGAATGATCGCCGGCGCCCTGCTCTTTTCCAGCTCCTGAAGCCGAGTGAACAAGCAGTGATGTTGAGCCTTTGAGGCTGCTTGGCTCTGGAGAACTGGACGCCTGCATACTGTTGCTCTGTACTGGGCCAGCTTCGGGGACATCACTCTTCGGGGTCACCCTAGGGCACACAACAAAAGCTGATGTACACACACACCAAAGCACAGACATGATGCTGGATGTCCTTACAACTGCTATTTCTCTTTCCATGAGTTTTACTCCTAACCAGTAACCACTTTTACCAGAAAATAATTAACTCTTTATGCATACTCTTAACACCTCCAAGTACAAATAATTTATTTTCAAATACAATTTTTGCTAACTTCAGAAACTTCATCAAGCACCACCCCTGTACGGGCTAGGCATGGTATCTCATGGGCAATAAGACAGGATTCCTGCCCTTAGTTTAGCAAACCTTTTGTCGATTCTCCCGCATGGATTAGACCCTGTGTAAGAGGCTGGGAGCACAAAGATGAGTGTGACCTCAGCTTCACCTTTGAGGAGTTTACAAATCTAGGGGACGATAAAGGCACTTATCTAATAATACATAATCTAGCATGCAAAAGCTGTTGGAGGTACATTTGGTCTAGTTTGGGAGGATAAGGTAAGACAGCATTGAGACCTTAAAGTAGTCAGCTGTCAATATTTTGGCTAATTCAATACTTACATGTGTTTAGATCACTTATGATCATTTGGAAAAATTCATTAAAGGTAATGTCAATATCCTTTCATGTTCAGAAAATAAAAACATTTTATAATCAAACTCATATAAAATGACAAATACCTTTTAGACAGTATTATAATGTAGGGCTAATTGAAACTTAATAGCCTGTATTGTACATGAATCAAACATTTCCCTAAATTCACAAGCAACTCTTAACAATTACCATAGAAATAAACATTACTTTTCTATTTGAACAATATACATGAAAGGTTCTTCCCAATACTAAGAATTAAACTATAAAAGAGCATTTATAGGCAAAATTCTATACTAAAAATGTATAGACCTGTCATCTCAAAGAATGCTTTCTTTCCAGCTTTATGCTGGAAATGAAAATGTTATGCTTTAATGAAAAATGTGTAAGGCAGTATTTGAAATAGTCATACGATTTAAGAGAAGCAAGTCCAAGCTCACCTTCCTTCACTCCGCGCACTTTCAGACACACTGCTCTGGTCATTCACGTTGCCTGCCCGGCCTTGGCCTTTCCTGTCCGTCTGTTCCCCGCAGAGTCTGGAGCTGGGTGCTGCTGGGGAGGCAGGCCCCTCACAGTCCCGGTCTCTTAACTTGGGGGTGCTCGCTCCATCCGCTCCCACCTCTCTCACTGACGTTTCTGGTGAAGTCTGTACTTCGGTCAGAGCTTCTTGTCCTAAGTAATCGTGGCTAGTGATTGCTACTGCAGAAGTACCATGATTGGCCGTCACTCCTCTGCTGGTCCCCATGGACTTGGAAATGACCTTCAGTTTATGTGAACTTGGCTTGTAGTGCTTCTTTTTGTGTTTAACTTTAGAATTGTGCTTTAAGAAAAACTCACATGACTCCTGTAACACTCTTCGACTTTCACTGATTGGACTGTAAGAAAATTCAAGAAGAGAGTTTACTGGATAAAGGTTAAGTGTTATAATAGAAACCGTAAAGCATATCATACATCTTGTGCCAAAAATCCTTATTCATTCAAGTTAGATTCTATATGATTTACATTATTTATAAAAATCTAAGATTATAAATACTATGAGATATAAGCAGATTGCCACAAAGTGAAATCTTTTGTGCATACACTGTCAGGGGCTTTTGTCAGCATAAATAGTAGAAAGAAATTAAAGATGAGGGCAAAAAAACTCAAACTGGCATAAAGTAGGGGATTATTTGTATGTGTATCATAAACAAAGATATAAAATATGAAAGTAAACCAGAGAGAGAGAGTATAGAATATAATTAATGGTCTTTGTTTAAATACAACTGTTTTCTTTCTAATATTCAAGTTATAGCAAGTTATTCCGAAGTAAGTGTGGGCACATAAATATGGGATGTGCTTAGTCACTCAGTTGTGTCCAACTCCATAAACTGTAGCCTGCCCGGCTCCTCTGTTTACGGAATTTTCCAGGCAAGAATACTGGAGTGGGTTGCCATGCCCTCCTCCAGGGGACCTTCCTGACCCAGGGATCCAATCCAGGTCTCCCGCATTGCAGGTGGAGTCTTTACCATCTGAGCCACCAGGGATAGAGATATAATAATAGTTCAAAGAAATTAAAGTCCAGTTAAATGAGTTCTTCAGACTTCAAAAGTTAATTTGTAAAAAGGTTCTAAAATTTTTACCACAAAAATGTCCAGTAATCAAACCAATTGGAAACAGTTTAAAAACTCTATATTACATTGATTGTACATAATCTATAACATATGTAAATAATAAAATTAACTATTTACTCATAAATGTAAGTCTACTATGTTGTTAAAGAATACTCCATAAGTTGAAATTTTTACCATCTTAAAAAGGGCAAATAAGTGGCATGTTAAGTCAGTACTATGTGTAATAAAATTCAAAGGTAATGATCATATACCACATTTGAATCATATTCTATGTTGCTTAATATATATTGATATTTGACCCATTTCATCTTTTATCACTGATTAAAAAAAGGATAAAATTATTTACAATGCTGAACCCAAAACAATGAACTCAATGATAGCAGTAATAATATTGGATATATTATAAGCCATGGAAAGAAAATGTACATTTTACAAACTTTGTATTTATATTTCAATAGAATAGTATATGTGAAAGACTACTGTAACAAATACTAAAATAAAGCATCTCTCTCGATGAAAAAAGACTATAGTTTGAAAACACAGTTAATATAGTGAAACTCCAGTACAGTGATGATTTGAATAGTTCCTTGGTATTTGATCTATTTATTTTAAAACAATGTCAGATAATTCAATAGATGCTTACTCTTTCTTGCGATTTCGTTTAAAAAATCCAGCCCATTCTGTGCATGTCTTTTTGCTTCCAACCCAGAAGACAGCAGAGATGCCAACAATTAATGTCATCAGATATTTTATCATAAATAAGGCCAGTTCTGGTCGAGTTTCTGTATTTACCTGCAAAAAAATAAGAAGAATTTCAGTGATAAATTTAAAGTAAAGAGAAATCTATACAGTTAATGCAAAACTTGAACAAAAGTATAAATCAGTTGGTCTTATGAACTGTTTGATATGGCATAATGAATAGTGATATAAGTGTAATACATTCCTCACAGAAGTTCTGAACAAAGAACTTTTATCAAAATATATAACTAGAAAGGGAAAAACACATTAAATACATTTAGGAAGGATGTCTTTACATCTTGGCTTGATATCTGGCATTTTTTTTTTTCTGTAAGTATAGCAGCCTCTTATAATTCCCCAAATATGTGCCACTCAATATTTATCTATTTTCCTTAACTACAATCTATAAAAAAAAATACATTTAAACTCATTTTTAACAGCATAGTATTTAGAGTCTTTATGCACTATTGATGTTTATGTTACAAAAACTAGGTTAGTGAGAACAAAGTAAGCATCAGTAAAATGAAAAAAATGTGGAAATTTTGTAAAAATTAAATCATACTTTTCTTTCAAGTATAAACTTTCAAATATTTTTAGAATGTTATACAATATCAAAATGCTATACATTCGGCATTATATCTTTCTTTTTACACTTACTAGTATTTCTTGGAAACCATTCTATATCAGTGTAAGTAGAACATTCTTTTTAAAGGCCGCTCCATTGTGTGAATGAACTATAATTTATTCAACTACCCCTACTAATAGATGTTCAGGTTATTTCCTATTGTCATTGCAAATAATGTTACAGTGACTATCTTTGTATGTATGTAATATCTCACATCTGTGAGCAGATCTGTTGATAAAGTCCCAGAAGGACAGGATCAAAGAGTACGTGCATTTTAAATAATGGATATTATCAAAATTCTTTCCACAAAAGGTTGAACTAATTGAGCAGCAAAGTCTAGAACGTGTATTCTGCCACAGTTTCATCAATACAGTGGTTATAAAACCACATTTGTCATGTCATAAGCAGAAATATGATTTTATTATAATTTTAATTTGCATTTTTATGTTAAGAATAGCTTGTTTTATGTTCCTTTTTTGTGACCTCTTGACATATCCTTTTGTCATTTATATACCAGATTGTTCATTTTTTTCTTATTGATCTATAGGACCTCTTTATAAACAAGGAAATTAGCCCTTTAATTATGATGTGAAGTGTGAATAAAATTTCCCAGTTGGTCTCCTGACTTTGATTATGGTGGGGTTTTTTGCCATGCAGAATCTGAAAAAAAAATTTCCCTTAGTCAAATTTAGCAATCTTTTCTTTCATAGCTCCTGAATTTTATATCATAAAGTCCTTCCCCATTATAAGATTAGAATTTTCACTTTATCTTCTAATACAGTTTTTCTTTACATGAGACGTAATCTTGAAACATCATATATCTTATACTTTTTAGTAGTACGTAATGGTTGCCTTCCCCCCAGGTTTGCCAAAAATATGAGCAATCTAGGACAAAATACGGCAGGATCACTTTAAGAGTACTTCCTTATTGATAATACAGTAAAAGCAGATGGTGGATAACAGACTACGGACAGGCTGTAAGGCAGGTAAAACCATTATCCCCACACACCAGTATGTAAAACAGGCTTCACTGTTACAGTGCAGTAACTTTCTAGAATATAAATTACTACATAAAATAATTCAGTCCATACATTGCTTGATCTGATATACTGTGATGATATAGCACTCACAAGCAACATTAGCCAGTACCATATATAGATATTCAAGAAAATTTTATAAAATCTATTAAAAACAAAGCTTCTATTTTAAAAAGTCAACTAAAATGTTCTAAGAGATTTTCTATTTTCAGATACTTTTAAATCTTAACATCACAACTTTAATCAGAAGTATCAGAAACACATGAATCATGTTTTATTTTAATTGTGCTTTTTGTCATAAGAAATGACAGGATAGTTTAGGCAAAAATTCTGTAAGTGTATATGAGCAAAATATAAAATTATATATTACATATCATCTTATTATAAACCCAAATAAGGGTTTTCTCAACTAACTAAAGAATTAAAAACTACTCCCAATTGAGCAAAAGTTCCTTTTCTTCTCCCTATGACAAGAGCCTGTTCTTCTGACTCTACTCTTCATTACCATTCATCTGCTTTTGCAATCTAACTTAATTTTTAAAAGAACAGCTAAACGAGGCACTTTACTATCTTTGTAACTGAAGCTAAAACTTGAGGAAACAACTCCTCCCAGTTTCAACTGATGCCTAGGGAACATTTGCCTCTACTGGATTTTCTCACCTGAAATCTAATTTTAGCTGCATGACAAATTCAAAGATATTTCCAGGGAACGCCATGTTAAAGTTAAATAGTGAAATAATAGAGATGATAGCCTTTACCTGATAAGGACATGGGATATGGTACTGACGACAGTGGTCAGAGACCCAAGTTATCTCCCAGGTAATCCTGTTTACTTGCTCGTAGACGTAGCACCCCAGAAGAGTTACTAATGGCACAAGATACAGGCCACTGAAGACTCCAATTCGAATCATAAACTTCTTCAGTTTCTCTTGGTTCCGGCCATCATGCTGTATAACCTGTCGAACGTGATTTAAGGAAATAATGCCAGCTAAGAGAAGAGACAGCCCGACAAACACGCAAAGGCACAGTGGCAAGAGGACGAAGTAGCGAGAAGCATCCAGGTCATAAAGGCCCACGAAGCAGACCCCACTAATGTTGTCTCCTTCAACTTTGTTCATGGCAAGAAGCATAATGGTGAGAAAACCTGGTATTCCCCACGCAACAGCATGAAACCACACTCCTTTTTGTTCAATGGCCTCACAACTCCATTTTCTGCCAGCAGCTAAGAACCAAGTAATGGTAAGCATCACCCACCACACAGTGCCAGCCATGGTGAAAAAATACAAAAACATGAACAAAATGGTGCAAGCCTTATTTTGAGAGCCTAGAACAACTGTGTCGCCAAGTTCCAGTTTCTCATCTGCCTTATTGCACGCCGTGCTATTGCCGAGCAAGAATCCGATAAAGTACATGAGAGATACAATGCTGTAACAGACAGAGTAATATATAATAGGTCGCTCTGGGTATCTGAATCTTCTAACATCAATTAAAAAAGTAAGGAATGTGAAAAGGGTTGCACAGAGACAAAATATTGAAACTATTCCAATAAAACTTTTTGCAAACTCTAGCTCATCACTTTTAAAATACATGTTGGGGCATGGAGGTGCACATTGGTCAATTCCCAGAAACTTATAGCCTTGTCCCCCAGAAGTCTTAAGATGCCTTGGACACCAAAATCCAATGTCTCTTCGGATTTGTTCTGATTTCTTGTGAGGACCAAGAAGCTCTGTGTGTGGGTTAAAAGTTGCAGGAACAGACTCATCACAGTACTGTAATCTGTAAAGATTTAAAAATAAATAAATAAAAGAAGCCAACATTTTTGAGTTACTATTTTAATGCTATACTTCACAATATATATACTTCACATATTCCTTATGCATTCACTTTAAAATTCTTTTATTATTATCATTTTAAAATCTTTTGGCCCAGCCACAGAGCATGTGGAATCTTAGTTCCCTAAGATTGAACCTGCACCCCCTTTATTGGTAGCATGGACTCTTAACCACTGGGCTGCCAGGGAAGTCCTTCCTTATGCATTCATAACTGATGGGGAGACATACAAACTTAAGCAGATACAGGTTTACAGTTGGGAGGAAGTTTTGAAATTGACTAAAAACTTGTAGTTGTTAATGAGGCCCCAATACACTTAACGTATATATTAAGTATCAGGCAAGTGAACATGAAAACTCCCTTACTTGGAAAACAATCAATTAATAGCTGTTAAATAAATTCTGATTTCAAGGCTAAGTGTTTAAGAAATAATTTATCTTGATTGGTAGTCTCTAGACAAAAAGATGCTGACTTATCTGTTTGAAATATTTTGAAATATAAGTCTTGGGTAAGTGAATTTTTATTTTCTAACATCCACAAGCAAAGTAGATCAGTCACATAGTAAGGTGATGACAATTAAAATGACTGAAATGAGATCATTTCCTGGGTGGAGAAGACAAAGTTCAAGTGATTTCTAAGTTTATAAAGAAGGGCAAGAAGATCACCAAGAAGAAGGCTGAGGACCAGCTGAACTCACATCACCATTTTTTTGCGGTATGGCTGTTTGCCCCTCTTGTTCAGGGCAGTCCAGAATGATACAAGTGATATTTCTGTTTTATGCAGAACTTTATCACTGAGTTTCTACACACCCAGAATTATTCTGGAGGAGCTACATGGTTTAGAAATTAGTGGAGGACCTCCTTGGTGGGTCCAGTGGTTAAGATTCACGCTTCCAACACAGGGGGCATGGGTTTGATCCCTGGTCGGGGAACTAAGATCCCACATACCACATGGCCAAAAAATTTAAAAATTAAAAAAAAAAAGAAATTAGTGGAGGTTTTAAAGGAGAAAGCATTTTAAATATGCCTTAGAAACGACAGAAAATAATAAAATGTATGCCTGTATAAAAACATGGATGTATCTACTAGTTTTTTCAAAAGGCAGTATATCAATTTTACTTTATTACAGATACAGTTGGGACTCCTTTCTGGTCCTATTCTCTTTTCTCTCTCTCTTCCGAAGTATTCATTACTACAAGTTCAGTTTTTATTTCTCCCCCCTTAATATGTTTTTTCCAACTATAATGTTATACAGTATTGTTTTACAGGTTTTGAACTTTTTTGACATGGTGCTATATATATCACACTTTTTTTTTAACTTATAATTTTTAGATTTATCTCTATTGACAAATGTAGGACAACCACACTCATAACTGTATGGCAGTATTCTAGCATGTAAGTACATTACAATTTACTTATTCTTACAATGGGCTTTCAGACTTTTTCTCATTTAAAGAAATCTTATTTTTTTGGCTGTGATGGTTCTTCCTTGCTCGCGAGGGCTTCCCCTAGTTTCAGTGAGTGAGGGCTACTCTTTGTGGGTGTGGGGGCTCCTCTGGCTGCGGACACAGACTCGGGGCACACGGGCTTCAGCAGTTGCAGCTCATGGGCTCGAGGGTGTGGGCTCAGTAATTGTGGAGCATGGACTTAGCTGCTCTGTGGCATGTAGTATCTTCCCGGACCAGTGTTCCCTGCACTGCAAGGCAAATTCTTAACTAGTGGACCACCAGGGAAGCTCCCAGACTTTTTCTCATTAAAAAAAAAAATTATGAGTAATGCTACAATAAGTATTCTTGCATATGATCCCTTGTTTGGGGAAAAGTTTCCATAGAAGGGGATTTCCTAAGATGTACAGTAAGAACACTTTCACTTTTACTATGTATTATCAGTTGTTCTAGAAAGTGATTATGCATCTAGCAGAAGTGTATGAGCTCCACAAAGGCTCTAGAGTTTCTTTAGTCTATGGATAAAGAAACAAAAAGAGAACCGTCACCATCGTTCCCAGATTTATTATATGAAGTCTCATTATGTCAGTAGAGTATTTCAAATTATTAGCTCTCAATGTCTAGAGATTAGCAGACAAAAGTAATTAATCAAGACACATGCAGAAAGGCCCATGAATTGATAATAATACCCTTTTCCCCCCAGTTTAGAGCAAAGGCATCTTAATTCATTCTCACAGAACTTTGCACCCTCACTTGTTGTATTAACACAGGTGTAATTGTGCATTTAATTTTATGCTTATTTGATTACTCTCTATTCCTCCTACCCCACTGTAAGTTCTCTAAAAACAAGAACCAAGTCTGGTTTTGCTCACCACTGTGTACAATGCTGATATACACGTGCCTAACATATATTAAGTGTGCAATAAATAGTTGTTGACAAATAATGAAAGCTTGTCACTGACATTCTTGAAAATTGATACCAACATGAAAATATCATCAGTAGCTTTCAGCTGAAAACATTATTTACCTATCACATTCAAGTTCCTCAGGCCATCGGATATCAAAAGTGTCCATTAATTTCTTGCAATCAGAATACACTTTCTCACAAAATTTCCGACAGGGTGGAACCACATGAATTTGCTCAGTGCAGGTTGGTACAAAAGCTTTGCAAAGGAAAGTTTCAACATTTGGTGAACATTCCAGATTTGCAAGAGGAAGAAAAAGCTGTTAAAAAACAATAAGAGAAGGTTAGAAAACAGGTTAGAGGGTTAGAATTTTTTAGCATACACTTTTTCACTTAAACTCCAAAAGAATTTTAAATCTCACTCTCAATACAATCAAATCTGAGGAGATAAGTGTTGGACGAGACATAAGAACCCTTCATACACAGTGGAATATTAATTTATATAATTATGCATTTTTCAAGCAGACATTAGGGTTAAATCAAAAGTATGAGTTGAATGCTATATGAAATAAATTATACAAATAATCAATTTATAAGTATATGCTCCCTGGAGGAGGAAATGGCAACCCACTCCAGTAGTCTTGACTGGAAAATTTCAGGAACAGAAGAGCCTGGTGGGTGATAGTCCATGGGGTTGCAAAGAGTCAGACATGACTGGGCATGCATCCAAGTATATCTTAAAACACCCTATCACTATACTGAGCATTCTGGAGAATAAAGGAATGTTTGGGATGGAGGGAACAGTGTGAAAAAAGGCATGAGGATCATAAGAATATGGTGGATTCAGGGAAAGAAGTTCAGTATGAATAGAATACAAGGTCAAAGACTTGAAGTCAAGGAGGGAGTAGACAGAGATGAGACCGGAGAGGTACCCTGACCTGATCACAGGAGCACAGATGACACGCTATTGCTTGGATTATAGAAGGAGTGGGATACTATGGGAGAACGCTAAGCAGGAGATGTCTACAGTCAACAGCTGTGTTTGAATGCTAGCTCCACGTTTACTAGTTTCATAACTCTGGCAGGTTACTTGAATTCACTGTGCCTTACTTTCTTCATCTGTAAAATGGCAATAATAATAGTACTTGCCTCACAAGATTGTTATGAATACAAGGTTAGCAAATGTAAAGTGCTGAGAACAGTGTCGAGCATATAGTTATGTACTCAATAAATATTCAACCTAGTGGCTCAGATGGTAAAGCATCTGCCTGCAATGCAGGAGACCTGGGTTCAATTCCTGGGTTGGGAAGATCCCCTGGAGAAGGGAATGGCAACCCACTCCAGTATTCTTGCCTGGAGAATTCCACAGACAGAGGAACCTGGTGGGCTATAGTCTGTGGGATAGCAAAGAGGCAGATACAACTGAGTGACTAACACACACACACAAGATTGTTATGAATACAAAGTTAATAAATGTAAGGTGCTTAGAACAGAGTCTGGCATAAAGTTAAGTACTCAATAAATGTTAGTTATTGTGATTATCACCCTTGAGGGAGTGTGGACAGGTTCTGGAAAAACCTGGTAGACTGAGCACATATGTTTATCTCCTTTCCCCTCTCCTTGTTAACAGGACAAATACATCAGTAAGTGAACAAGGGAAACTACGTTAGCATATCAGAGTTCTCCAAAGAAGAAAAATGAAACAAAACAACAAAAAAGCAAGCCCCAAACTTTGAGCGACAGGAAGCTACTGGAGGAGTGGTAAGTGACTTAATGGGACCAAGCTGGAGTGGAGGGATCCACATGAGAATGAGCTGATTCATTTGCCCTAAAGAATCTGAGGGTCTCAGTTCTTTGAAGCACAGAGTAGCATAAAAGGCTACAACTGGAGGAACGTTTACACATTAGTTCCTCACTATGTCACCCCACGCCCCTACCCAGGCAGCCAGATGGCCACTGCATCCCACCAAGGTTGTTTCCAGAAGGGATGGAAGTAGACGTTCGGCACTTGGTTATCGGGCACAGAGCAGGGCAGAAGTACAATTCACAGTGAAGAGGGACTGAGGAACGGTCTACCTATGGAGACAGGAAGCCCTCCCCTTCTTCTCCTGCTCTGTTTCCCAAAGGCATATATACCTACCATCCCCAAACTTTGAAAACTCAACAGCCTTGGAGAAAAGACCTCTACACACTGACAATGAAAAAGCTAGTTGCCCTCGAGCTCACCTTCCTATGAAGCCCGCCAGTAACAAGGCCCGTTCACTCACACCGAGCTTGTCAGTGCCCCACACAAACATACATGGGCAGCCAAGCATCATCGGGCATCTGAAGAAAACATCACAAGAGACAGAAACTAAAAATAAGCAAGCAGATAAAATGAAATGTGGAGGAAACAGAGATTATCCAGGGAATAGAAGAAAACAAATCACAAAACAAACAAAAACCTTAGTAAGTTAAATAAGAAGCTATTGCTTTCATTAAAGAATCAGATGGTAAGGAAAATTTTAAAATAAGATAGCTAAAATTAAAAACTCTATAGAAGCACTAGAAGATAAAGCTGAAAGAAGAGACATCCCATAGGAGTACCAGTCCACACGTCCAACTCCTGACTAAAGGACTTACAGAAATAAACAAGGAAGATGAGAGTGGGGAAGACAATCAAATAAAGAAATTAAGAATATTTTTCAGAACAGAAGGATGCCAGTTTCCACATTGGAAAAGTTGGCAGCACATTGCAATCCTGCTACTAAAACATGACTGGGCTAAAATGTCAGTCAACTAACTCTTTTACATTCTCTCCTCAGGTGATGACTTTGTTCCTAGTTCACTGAAAAGTCAGAAATAACCAGAAGATCATTTCCTTAACCTCTCACAAAAGGTACCAAATCTAACCTACTTTATCCATATTCTCTTTCTTCTACTATTTCAATGGTTGAATGACTTGAACTCATAACCAAGTCTTGCATTTGTACACTGGATCCCTTCCCACTTTCCTAATCAAGGGCTTTCCTCTGGTAATGTTCTCCTATTCTTGCAATAATTTCCCCCCTCTGTTACAGTGATTCCATCATACAAACTTACTCTATTATCTCTAACCATTAAAAAAAAAAATCTTTCCTTGACTCCACATTCCCACTCCAACTCAGGTATCATTTCATTTTTTTCTTCCTCCTTATTAAAAAAAAAAACCTGAAAACAGTTATCTTTACCCACTTTCTTCAATTTTTCTCTTCCATTTCCTTTCAAGCCCACTCTCCAATCTGGTTTTGTCTGCATACTTCAGTGAAACTGCTTGTCAGAGTTACCAGTAAGCTTCAAATTGTCAAATCCAACAGTCAATTCTGAGTCCTCATTCTACTCAACTCTTAACATTTGACATAGTAGATCCTGCCCTCCTCCTGAGATACTTTTTTCAACTGGCTTCTAGAATACGAATTTTCCTGAATTCCTACGGATCTCACTCTTCTGATTTCTTCCATTCCTCTTCTGATTTCTTCCATTTCCCAACTGGAAATATTGAAGCACTCCAGGGCTCACTCCTCAGACCTCTGTCTACCCTCTGTAAACCCAACTCCTCAGAAACAAATCCAGGATGACGGTATTAAACACCAACTCTCCATGAAGTATTCACAATTTCTGGCCTCTATCTCGCCTGTGAATCCTAGACTTGAATGACTATTTGCCTTCTGGACAACTCCAGTTGACTGTCAACATGCATCTCAAACCTAACACATCGAAAAAACAACTCAAACCCACTGCGCCCTATCCGCCAAACACTGCCTTAGTCTCCCCATCTCGGTGAGCTGGTGCCACCATTCACCAAGTTACTCAGGCCAAGAATCTAAAGATTCATCCTCTACTCCTCTCCTTTCCTCACTCTATAGCCAATCCATCAGCAAATCCATTGGCTCTCCCTCCAAAATATATCTCAAATGTGACCACTTGTCGCTGCTGTTGTTCAATCGCTCAGTCGTGTCCGACTATTTGCAACTCCCATGGACTGCAGCACGCCAGGCCTCCCTGTCCTTCACCATCTCCTGGAGCTTGCTCGAGCTCATGTCCATTGAATCAGCGATGCCATCCAACCATCTCATCCTCTTCTGTCCCCTTCTCCTCCTGTCTTCAAGATTTCCCAGCATCGGGATCTTTTCCACTGAGTCAGCTCTTTGCATCAGGTGCCCAAAGTATTCGAGTTTCAGTTTCAGCATTAGTCCTTCCAATGAATATTCAGGACTGATTTCCCTTAGGATTGACTGGTTTCATCTCCTTGAAGTCCAAGGGACTCTCAAGAGTCTTCTCCAGCATCACAGTTCGAAGGCATCAATTCTTTGGTGCTCAGCCTTCTTTATGGTCCAACTCTCACATTACTACTGGAAAAACCATAGTTTTGACTATATGGATTCACTGTTATTAAGTTACTACATCTAAGCCAGTATACATTTCACCTATACTACTGAAATAATCCTAACAGGTCTCACTGGGCTTCCCCAGTGGATCAGTGGTAAAGAACCAACTTCCAAAGGAGGAGTCTCGGAGAGGAGTGTTCGATCACTGCATCATGAAGATCCCTGGAGAAGTAAGGGAATGGCTACCCACTCCAGTATTCTTGCCTGGGAAATTTGAGGGACAGGGGAGCCTGGCATGCTAATCCATGGGGTTGCAAAAGAGTTGAGCAACTAAACAATAGGTCTCACTACTTACCACTCTTGCCAATCTTATAGTCAATTTCTCTGATTCTTTAAAATGCAAATTTATCCTTGTCCAAAAGATCCCAAGGGAAAAAAATCTCAAAGTCCTTATTAAGTCCTATAAGGCCTTAAGTTCCCTACCCCTTGGCTATGTCTCCAGTTTCACTTTCTAACTCCCTCTTACTCCACTGCCCCCAAGCTGGCTTTCTGCCTCTCAGCATTCTACGTATATGTCTGCTTCGGGATTCTGCATTTGCTTTCCCCTTCATCTGGAACACTCTTCCTCCAGGTAGTCACACAGCTTGTGTCTTGGCTCAACTGTTACCTCAGAGAGGCATACCCTGCCCGCCCTTCATAAAAATTATACTGTCTTTCTCTGGTTCATTATCTCTGGTTTTGTATTTCTTTATAGTCTTTATCATTATCAGACATCTCATTATATGACTAGTTTTATAGATTCTCTCGTTTATTTTTGGGCTCCAAAATCACTGCAGATGGTGACTGCAGCCGTGAAATTAAGACGCTTGCTCCCTGGAAGAAAAGCTATGACCAACTTAGCATATTAAAAAGCAGAGACATTATTTTGCTGACAAAGGTCTGTCCAGTCAAAGCTATGTCTTTTCCAGTAGTCA